CATTCAGGTGGAAAGTTCCTTGGATTCAGTTGTTTGTCTCTTCTCCAAGTATTTTAGAAACTGCCTATCTTAGGGAACCTTTGGGAGCCTCAGGGAAAAGTTGCCCTGTGAGTTCCATCTCTAGTTCTCAATTACCCTTATGTTACCAGGACTGCCAGATATTCTTTTGGATTACCAGGCAGAAGAGAAATCTAAATTTATACCTGCTAATTAGGTTGGGATGCTAGTGAGGAAGCCTGGGGTGGGGGTGGGGGAGTCACAATTTATGCAGTTTTAAAAGACCTGGATTTCTGGTCTTAATTCTTCTGCTTGTGAGTTTTATAATCCTAGGCAAGTCACCCACTTTATTCCTCTGATTTTCAGTTTCTTTATCTATAAAGGAAAAACAAATCTACCTATAATTTAGGGTTGTTCTAAGAATTAAAGGAAATAATACAGAATATTAAAAAATGAAATGCTCGATCTTTCCTCCTTACATCTTTAAATTCAGTAGCAAAGCAGCTTTTAATCCTAATGCCTTAATGGAAAGAAAGTAAAAGAGCTAACACATATTTAGAAAATGTAGAGTACTCTCATTCACCAGATGTTATCCCAATACAAAATAAGCTTTTAAATTTGGCTGTTTTTTGTCCCTCTTACTTGTCTCTCTAAACACCTCAGGAACCTAGGCAAGAATTGAAGAAGGCAGTTTTCTGATAGTGAATACAATGGTAATTAAACAAGTCACCATCTCCTGAGTGTTTATTATGTGCTAGTCACTATTCCCAAATAATTTACATATCTATTTTCTTTTATGTTGTTATGGCTACGGAGGGACTGGTCATGGATTCATTTTTTTTCTTGTCTGTCCTTTCCTGACAAAAAGTCCCTTGGTCTTATATTTGACTGAAGATTAAAGAATACATTTGGTCTTATTTCTGAAGACTCTTCATGACTATCTTTATTGCCTCTAGGACCATAACTTCGGCTCTCAACCTATAGTTAGGAAGGGCTCTTCTAAGAAAGATTCTTTTGTTAGCACTTGAATGAGGAGGTTAAGAGTGACCAAATTTCAGTTTTGAATTATACTTTCAATTGATGATGCTTTCTTTCCAGTTGAGAACTGTAAAAAATGTGCATGTCTGTTCCTGCTGTATATACTTTCAAGTAAGTGAACATAAGTATAAATATAATATTGGCACTGATTCATTCATCCAAGTAAAAATAGAATACCTCGTATCCTAGATACCATTCTAGTTGCAGGGGAATTTAACAGTGTATGTCAAGTGTTCCATCAAATCTGCATCAGGAAATGATTATTTTAAAGGTTACCAAAACAATAACAAAAAACAAGAACTTCCCTCCTCATTTCTTAATTCCTCATCTTTAACAGGTGCATCCTTTTACTTCATTTACATATATTCTTCTTTCACAAATTCCTTTTTCTCTTTCTACATAGATTTAAAAAGAATCTTTGAGAAGTGATTTTCTTTTCCACATCCTCTCTTGTTGATTAATGTTGCTAGCAACAGTCAGACCTTCTGAAAATGACGGAATTAATGTTTGCTACATTGTGAGAGGATTCTTAGTGCTCTCCATTACAAATTGTGGCAATGTTTACACACTTTTACATGCTGTTTACTATTCCTGATTATATTCTGGGGGAAAAAAGGTGGCTCGCTATCTCAGGAATTTGCAAATACTGTCAGGTCATTTTCACAATATCAGCATGGAGGGCACTATTCTTTTCTTGACAAAATATTAATGCATGTCACACTTGCATTTAAAGCTGTATATCTATTTTGGGAAGTTGACTGATATTCAAGGACAGTTATGTGCTCCTGATGCTACCGTTAAAGTTTTTGTTTTTCTACATCCTAAAGAAAAACAAAACATTTTATAAATTCTAACTTAGTAAGTTTCAGTAAGGTACCATGCTGATCAACAGCCCAAATACCTTGGCTCTAACAGTTTTTGTAGAATACCAGTCCATGATAGGTGGACATTAGTACTCTCTTATATTCTGATTTACCATAAAGCTAATAGTTACACGGCCAGGTAGCCAGTCAAGGGAGATGTAACATTTGCTCTGATTTCTGCAGATTGACAACTATAATCTCATTATTGCCATTTAGAGTGACAATATGTTAAGGGTAGACATGTGAGGAACTGGTACATTTTCAGGGTTTGAAAATTTTAATATTGGGAGAGGCAAATGGGTGTGGGAGAAACCTCAAAATTGAGCAGATTATACTTCAAATCATTTCTAGTAATGGAGTTAGGACTTTAAATCACTGGTAAATCATTTTCTGTTTGTCAAGGAGTAATTATAGTTCAGAATTTTTCAAAATAATACTCAAATTAACTAGTGGAGTATATTTTAATTTACATTCCACACTGGGCAGTCTACAATTAGTAGGATTTTCATAGAAACATGATGTGATGGTCTTAGATTTATTCACAACACAAAAAAATCTATGAACATTATAATATCAGTTTTGGGGGTTACAAATGAGAAAAAATGCTATAATAATAAATAAAGACATAGTACATTTCAAATCCTTTTTGCGTGTAATTTCTGCTGTCTTGAGGATTTGTGCTACAAATATTTGTTAAGTACCTTCATGAGCTAGGAACTGCAATACCATGATGGACAGAACACAGTTGCCACCAAGGCACATCCTGCCCAGCAAAGGAGGATGCTGGATAAGTAAACAACTGCCTGTGTGGACTTCCTCTGTGTTTTGTGTGCCTATTAGCATAATTCATGGAAATAATATAAGATACTTTCTCCCATCCAACACAAGCCCTGTTGGCTTATTAATCACTATGTACCATCCCTGCTGATCACAAACACATTTTCTCACTTACTATACAAAAACAGACCCATAGATCATTGAAACAGAATAGAGGGCCCAGAAATAAATCCAACCTTATAGTCAATTTGGACAAATCAGGCTAGAATATACAATGACTTTAAAGACATTCTCTTCAATAAATGGTGTTGGAAAAACTGGATAGCTACATGCAAGAGAATGAAATTGGACCACTTTCTTACACCACACACAAAAATAAACTGAAAATGGATCAAAGAACTAAATGTAACACCTGAAACCATAAAACTCCTAAAACACAGTCAATAAACACTTGGATATCAGCCTTAGCAATTTTTTTCTGGATATGTCTCCCCTGGTAAGGGAAACAGAAGCAAAAATAAGTGTGATTTTTTTCAAATAAGTAGCAAAAGGAAATATGTTATTTGGGGAACAATCAGAGACTGTGACAAACTAAAAAGCTTTTGAACAGTGAAGGAAACCATCAATAAAATGAAAAGGCAATCTATTGAATGGGAGAAGATATTTGCAAACGATATATCCAATAAGAGTTTAATATCCAAAATACATAAAGAACTCATACATCTCAACATCCTCCCCCAAAACCCCAAATAATCCAATTAAAAATGGGCAGAAGACGTGAATAGACATTTTCCAAAGAACACATTCAGATGGACAACAAATACAAAAGATGCTTAACATCACTAGTCATAAGGGAGATGCAAATCAAAGCCATTGAGATATCACCTCATACCTGTCAGAATGGCTGTTATCAAAACAAGAAATAAGAAATATTGGTGATGATGTGGAGAAAAGGGAACCCTTGTACACTTTTGGTAGGAATGTAAATTGTTGCAGCCACTATGGAAAACAGTATGAAGATTCCTCACAAAATTAAAACTAGAACCATCATCCAGTTCAGCAATTTCACTTCCGGATGTTTATCTGAAGAAAATGAAAACACTAATTCAAACTGCATGTATCCTTTTGATCATTTCAGCATTATTTACAATAGCCAAGATATGGGAGCAACCTATGTCAATCAGTGGATGAATGGATAAAGAAGATATGGTACATATATAAATGGGACTATTACTCAGCCCTTGAAAAGAATGAAATCTTGGCCTTTGCAACAATATGGATGGGCAAGAGGGTATTATGCTAAATGAAATAAGTCAAACAGAGAAAGACAGTTATTTGATTTCACTTATTTGTGGAATCTGAAAAACAAAACAAATAAGCAAAGAAACAAACAAAAAATTGGAACAGTCTCATAAATACAGAGAACAAACCAGTGGTCACCAGAGGGGAGGGGACTGGGGGCTAAGTGAAATAGGTGAAGAGGATTAAGGGGTATAAATTCCCAGTTATAAAATAAGTAAGTCACAGGTAAAAAGTTCAGCACAAGGAATATAGTCAATAATACTGTAGTTGCGGCAGATGCTAACTATACTTACTGTGGTGAACTTTTTATAATGTATATAACTGTTTAATTACTATGTACATACACCTGACACTAATGTAATATTATATGCCAAATATACTTCAATTAAAAAAAAATTTTACTGCAAATTTCCCTGCCCTGAAACTATTCAGTGTAATACAGTTTATCTTGCTTCAGTCAAGAGAATGTTCCATCCTTATAACATGTACATTTGCAATGTGTTTAATGTATTTCTTCCCATTCCCACTGCATTCCTGGCTTGTCTTCATTACCTAGTCCCACATTATGGTCTCCTACATAGTATTTTCTGTCAGCTTGATTTCACTCCAACTCTTCCTGACACCTAAATCTTATTCTTATTTCAAGGAGTACCTAAAATCCTATTTCCACAAGAACATTTCCCTAGCCACTCCCAGTGACACTTCTCTGGACTGTGTGTTTTGGCACTTGGTCATGGAGTATCTCATTTTGTTGGTAAAGAGTTTTATGTGCATACTTTGCCCTCCTCAGGCAGCAGGAAGCTCCTGGACAGGAACTGTCTTACAAGCTCTGACCATAATGTCCTACAGCTGAGTTTTGTGAGTGTGTTGTGCAGTTACTCCTGAAATAGACCCGTCCAAGCACTAAGCATAGAACTGAACATCCAATACATACTCAAATTCACATACTGAAAGGCTGCAATACCAAGTTGTTCTAATGTCAGTGTACACGAGTTCAGTGTAATACTCAAAGGAGTTACTTACTAAGGCAAATTTTTTGTTGAGAATCATCTGCTCCACCAAAGATGACTCATTATGGAAAAGGTGGGGCTGCATGTGGCTCCACATGTGAGGAAACCACCAGAACTCATCCACAGACCCCAAAAGATGGTCATCCCCTTCATCTTCCTCCTCAGTTCCTTCAGGGGGAAGAAAGAGTATTCAGTTAATTCCAGTTACACTGACTACCTATCAATTATCTATTTATCTTCTACCTAATTATATATTCCTATATATGTACTTGGAAGACACTGTAAGACTATCTTAGATATACATAAGGCTTTGAACATGAAAAGTAGCAAAGGGAAATATGTTACTTGGGGAACAGTCAGAGACTGTGACAAAACTAGTTCTTAAACATGAGACAGGCATAAAATCTTTGCAACATGGAAATGCACAACTATTTCCAATGTCATAAGAACTCTTAACTTTTAGCAGCTTTGTATAATTTGTAATTTGGAGAGAATGGGGGGTAAGTAGGAAACGTGGGAAAACAGTCCAGACTTCTCCTTGGCGTTACTCATGTTCCTTATCCTTGTCCCTTCTCTCAAGTTCTCCAGCAAAAAACTCCGGTTTTCTTGAAGGTCAGCCCTGTTGCTTTTCCTATGATTTTTTCATATTTGTGCTTGTTTTATTTTCTTCATTTTCCCTGACATGCAGTTTAGTTGAGGTGGGGGAAATTCCAAAATTTTCTTGGCTTGATGGGGGTAGAAGTCTCTCTGTTTCCTCATTAAAGCATGAAATGAGAGCAATGTAAGAGGCCTCACTACTGTTATGTCATATCACAGGATGATATTAATTACCACAAACTTACGCAGCCACACTTAAATTTCAGCCCCAATACTGAATCCAGTAAGATCCTACAGCAGGAGGTTCTTCAAACCTTGCATGGAGAAAAGATCCTCTCATATTTCCAACAGCAGCTCTAAAGTGACTGTTTTCCACAGGGCCAACAGGCTAAAGAGGGAGGATGGGCCCTGGCCCCGGCCCAGCGCCTGTTACCACTGTCCTTACATTCGGTTTCTCGGGAGAAGGAAGGCAGAGTCCACTGGCAGGAAAAAACATCAGATTGTGTGATTTAGTGGACAGTGAAGGTGATTTACCAAAGATAAAGATATAGTATGAGGCTGCATGGTTATTCTCATTTACACCGGAAGAACAGTATGCGTGATGCAGAGTGAGTACACCACCATAATTCTTCAAGGAGGACAGTCTTCAGTTTCACGTATAGATGCTTAAGTACTCTGCTGAGCTGAACTCTTATCTCCCTCTATAAACGCCACCTTTAGTCTGCTTTATTTCCCCTGTCTTTTCCTTTCCATCATACATTCATGTTATACTGTAGTGGACAAGTATAGTCTTTAGAGTCAGAAATTTTTTATTTATTTGTAGGTCCTAACACATCTGAGGTGTGATTGTGGGCAAGTCACATAGCACCTTTAATGTCTGTACTTAGGCAGGTAAAAAGATGGATAGAAATACCTACTTTATTTCTTTTTGGGAAGAAGTGTCTATATAGTCCTGGCACATATTGGTGATCTAAAATACCCTTTTCCTTTTCTTCTGTGTTTCCTTCTCCTGTTCTCCTGTGTCTCTTGATTTCCTTGAGCTTGTTGCTCAATAGACTATGGCATGGGGCTCATGGTGAGGTCTCACCTGCATGTTAGATGGCAGAGGCGACATTGTGTTCAAACGTGACCTCAGCCATTATACTAAAAGATTGGTCTGATCAATGCACCACTGAGCATTCTTAGAGCTTCTGAGTGATTTTATTACAGTTCAGGGAAGCCTTCTAGAAAGGAATGCAAAGGAAAAGGAACATGGAGTCAGGGATTTCAAATCTCTGGTGACCCCAATCATTGTAGGATCTGGGGTTCTGCTACCTTTTAGGTAATAAATAAGATGGCCCTGGTAAGGAAGCATTTGGTATTTGTAACTGGTGGTGCTTGAATACATGTTTTTTTGGACATAACATGATCTTATTTGGTTTAAACATCTGTACTTATATACAAGATACTCTCTTCTTGTTCAACATTTTAAAAAACATTTATTTTTTTTTTACTGATATTCAATTTTTTATTAGTTTCAAGTATACAACACAGTGGTTCAACAGTTACCCATATTATTAAATCCCCTTCCCAACTAGTGCAGTTACTATCTATCAACATAGGAAGATGTTACAGGAACATTGACTGTGTTCTCCAGGCTGTCTTGTTCACCATTTTGTATGTTCTCAGGACATCATAATTAGTTACTTATGCAGTTTTACTTTCCCACAACGAAAAGAGGCAGAAATCTCGGGGTTTCCCAATGATGAGTTCATTCTTGATTTCCACTTCCCCTGGGCAAAGTGAGTGTGGGTAAAAGTTAGATGAGATTTCCTAGTTTATGAAAAGTCACCCCTCCTACTGCTTTTAATCATCTCTATTTCCTCTCCCCTATAACTCCTATATTTCCCTGTACCTTTTTTCTCATCTCTCTTTTACTCACTTTTCTAGTTGGCCTTTACCCAGAGTTTATTTATCAGGGCAGTACAACAGATCTCAGGGTTCTTTGAAAAGATGGCTCAGGCATTTGTTGTCCTTTCCTGACTATAATGGTGAAACCTATTTAAATACACATTTGAATGATGCAGAAGTTAGACAAATGATGTCCGCTCTCTGACAGATTTATGTAAATTCATAGGTGTAATGATATGCCTTTCCTTTCTGTAATTCTTTCTTGTGTGATTTCTTTTAATCCTTCTTTATGGATATTTTACCTCAGAATTAATTATGTTGAGAAGAAATGTCTATTGCTTATTACTTTAAGCATTATGGTAACAAGCAGTCCAAACATAGCTGTTGTGGTTGAACAGTTCTGGACCCTTGCCATCCACTTTGCCTGACTTTGTCAGAATTGGAGGAAGAAAGAACTACAAGTCAAATTCCTTGTTTTTAAGTGTCATTTCCTAAATGTCACAAAACTATGCTGAAATCTTTGAGGTTATTGTAAATTATTATTTATTTTATTATGTATCTATTTAAATAACATGTCTTTTCAATACTTTATCTGCAGTATTTCCAATATCCTGATATATTAAAAACCATTGCGATTGACTTTACTTTTTGTCAAGCATTATGTTAAGTGTTTCATCAGCATCATCTTGTTTAATTCTCACTACAGCCTTATATGGAAGAGCCACTGCTATCTCCATTTTACAGATAAGGAATTTGATATTTGGAGAGGTGAACCAATTTGTCCCAAGTCACCGGGAAGGCTGGGACAGAACCTGAATTCTAACCTAGATTTAGTTACTTAAAATTCAAGGTCCATAACTATCATTTACTGATCAAATGTGGAATTTAGAAATAAGATCAGCATTTATTAACCCAATATTATATTGCTCTTCACATTGTTCATTAATTTTATGATATAATGAGAATTTACAAATTATATTGGTTCTCAGTGCTTTGGGGAATATACAAACCTAAACAACCTAGTGAAAAGGGGAAGGAACCTTTTGCCATTCAGCTTCCTTAATAAGGATTGCCAATTAAACAATAAGAATCTAATTTTTCTAATGCATAAGAATTGGGCTCTGACTGACCTAAAGTTAAGACTATTTTTTGATACATAACTAGCTATATAAGGTAACATTAACTCTTAGGATTCAATGAAAAGGTACATGAACAGAGCTTAGCCATATACCTTGAATATGGTGTTGCTCACTAAAAGGGACATGTGATTTTCATTTCCTTCATCTCTTTATTTCTCAAGCAATGCACAAACCCTTCAAAAACTAAAATAAATCAAAGATGAAACCTTTTCCTGAAATAAGATCTTACTATTATGACAGTGCTGTTTTCCTCCTTTCCTTTAACTGAATGAAATAGTATTTTTAATAGAAAAATGAATTACTCATTTAGGAAGGAAGGGAATGTAATTCAATTCAATTTCACAATGTCTAATTTTTGAAAGATACAAATTTTATATCTGTTCCTGCTGAAAAATAATTTTACTGATTTTTGACAACCCTAGCTAAGTTAAGCTTTCATATTGTATATAGGTAACAAGACCCCTTCAAGCCCTAGCCTCCTCCTGTATTGTAGTTTCCTTGCTTAGAGAGAAGATATTCTTACTTTGAGCTATGGAAAGTAACCAAGTAAGGAAAAAAAGATAAATCCTTCAGAAATAAAAAGGAAGGAGAGCAACTGGTTAGAGTGATTCCTTAACACTCGGCGTTGGGCAAAAAAGGGAGTTGCCAGGAGTGTTTTCATATATTTCTGTTGTGTTTGGGAAAGAAAGTCTTTAACTCTTGATATTTAGAGTGATTTTCTTTCACAACACAACACGGTCATATTTTATTCTCTGACCTTGTTCCATATAAATACTAATAGTTAAAGTAAAGGTGGTTTTAGTTTTGCTCAGTCATTTGTTCATTAATTCATTTTTCAATGAGCACTATTCTAGTTGCTGATGTTACAGCAGTAAAGCCTTCATGGAGTATCATTTTAATTAAGAAAAAGAGACAATAGATAAATAGTTTTAAAACAAAGTGCATTTAACTCCCATATATGATAAAACCCTCAGTAATCTAGGAATAAAAGAGAGCTTCCTTAAGCTAATATAAAGTGTATACCAAATGGTATATGAAAGGATTCCCTTTGCGAACAGGCACAGATCTATTGAAAGATTTCCCTCAATGTCAGGTACAAGACATGAGTGTCACCATGACCACTTTAATAATGTCCTGGAGATTCAAGGCAGTGCAATAGGCAAGGAAAAGACACAAAATGCTTAAGACTTAGCAAGGAAGAAATAAAAATTTTACTATTCAAAAATTACCTGATGGAACAGGTAGAAAAATCCAAAACAATCTACAAACTATAGAATTAATAACAATATAGCAAGGCTGTTGAATACAAAATCAGAACACCGAACCAATTGTATTTTGACATACTATCAACAAAGAAATGGAAAATGAAATAAAAAACAAGATGCCCTTTACTGTTGCATCAAAACACCCCACCAAAGAATAAATCTAAAAACAATAGTTTTATCAAGAGTAATTAAAGAGGACCTAAATATGTTCAAGGCTTGGAAGACTCAATATTTAGGATGACAATCCTCCCCCAGTTAATTAACAGATTTAATGTAATCTCAATAAAAATTTGAGCAAGTTTCTCTGTAGATATTGGTAAGATGAATCTAATATTTATATGAAATGACAAAGGGCCAAGAATTGCCAAGACAATCTTGAAGAACAACAAACTTGGACCTCTTACACTAAGAGATATTAATATTAATTATAAAATTATAGTAAATAAGATAGTATGACAGAGACAAATCAATCCAGTGAACAGTGGAGTATGGAAACAGAGCACACACACATATATGGTCATCTAATTTATGACAATGATGACACTGTGGTGCAGTGGGAAAAGGATGGTCATTTCAACACTTGATGCTAATTATATTCCTTTATGGAAAAAAGAAGGTATCTTGACCCCCCTTCTTACATATACACAAAAATCAATTCCAAATGGATCTCAGATTTATACATTTTAAGAATATAGGAACATATTTTCATGATCTTGTGGTATGCAAAGATTTCTTTTAAAAATCACAAAAGTTTGACAATAAAGGAAAAAAAAAGATACCTGGGCTATATTAAAAATAAATACTTTTTTTCATCAAAAAACATCATTAGGAGTATGAAAGGAGAACCCCACAGACAAAGGGCATTAAGAATATATAAAGAATTTCTGCAAACCAGTAAGCAAAAGCAGACAACCCAAAAAAAAAATTAAAAAGTGTTTCACAAAAGAGGATATACAAATGGCCAATCTATATATGAAAGAAGCTCAATTTCACTGCTCATTGGAGAAATGTAAATCAAAACCATAATATATCTCTATATGCTCACCAGACAGGCTAATATTAAAGACAAGCAATATCAAATATCAGTGAGAATGCAGTGTAACAGGAACACTCATATGCTGTTGGGAATGTAAATTGGTATAACCACTTTGAAAACTGGCTTTTTCTACAAAATTTGATCATAAGTGTGCCACATAACTAGCAATTCTATTTCTGGTTGATAACCAACAGAAAAGAATAGTATATCTTCTGAAAGAGAGATAAAAAATGTTCTTAACATTACTATTCAATAAAAGTCAAAGACTGGAAACAACCCAACCACCTACATTGGAAAGGACTGGAATAAAGATATTTTGGTATATTTAAGCAATAGACTGCTATAAAACAATGAAATTGAAAGAATTATAACTATACCCAATAATACCTGAGAAACCAAAATAATATTGAACAAAACAAGCTGGCTATAGAAAAGTCCATACTATATGATTCCTTTTACATACATCTCAAAACCAGGCAAATTAATTATGATATTAGAAGTGAAGATAGTGGTTTTCTTTGAAGAAAGCTAGTGACTAAGGAAGTACAAGGTTGGGGGCGAGATTCTGGTAGCATTCTCTCTCTTTATCTGCATGCTGGTCACAATGCTGTGTATACACTTTGTCAAAATTCATTGAGCATTACACTTATTACTAATGCATTTTTATATATGTGAATTATAGTTCAATAGAAAAGGAATGCTATTAGGTAATAATATGGTGAGTAAACTTTCAAACCGTTAACATTTTGTAAGGTTAAAAAATAATACATTAAATGGAATTAAATAATATGAAGAAAATAAAGTAGGGGAGAGACACAGGGAATGTAGGAAGGTGTGAAGAGGAGGGGTCACAATTTTAAACAGAGCAGTTGAAGAGGCCTTAATGAATACAGTTCATCTCCTTTTGCTTACCNGTTGAGAAGTTTTAGAAAATATCTCCCTTTTACATTCAAATGACAAAACTACTCCTTTATACACGAGAGAATTAAATGGAAAGTAGGTTCTTTACCACTTTACAGCTAGAGAGATGCTTTCAAGATTATATGAACACATACATATATTTATTCTTTAGCTTGCAATAAATCAGCAAAACGTGTCAGTTAGAAAAAGAGTTAAATGAGAAGTTTATTTTGCAGGTATCAAAGGAACTAGCATCCACATCAAATATGTCTCTTTTTACCCCTCAGAACATAGATCACCACTTGAGTGATCAAAAGAAGTCCTCCAAAGAAGGACACTCTCTTTAAGTGAACCTACGGAAGAACATATATTGAAAGAAACATTGTTAATTTTCTGGTATGTCTTTGGTATTCAAAAGGTAAGAATTTTCAATTTTTAAGTCTTAGATTCCCAAAAGATAGTGATTATTCTTCAAAAGGGTAAATCTCTAATTTGGCCTTTTGTTAAAAACCAGACAAACAAAACCTCTACTTCTGACACAAAGCTATTTTGAACCAGTTTTAATTGTTATACCTATAAAGTATTTACCATGCTGTGATTATTTAACAGACCTCTTTTCCTTCACATTCTTATTTGAATTTCTATTCTTATAACCCTTCTCTCCTCCCACTCCCACGACACAGACCATTGTAGTTGAGGACCAACCTCAACTAGGCAGAAAGTAATACTAAATGGTAGATTTGCAAAGGACCTTAGTTCACACTTCTTTGACACATGAGGAAACTGAGGAGAAATGACGTGCTCATTTTCACAGAAACATCAGTGGTAGATCCTAGATGAAGACTATAGATCCAAATTAGGTGCTCTTTTTACTCAATCACACCAAAATTCATTCTACTCTTTCCCACAGTATGGCTGGACCCACAACAAAATCTTCATCCCTTAAGAGTATACATGACACCTGCAGGCCCCGTCCCATCCTGTTCATGGTCTCCAAATCTTTCTCGGGGGATAAACAGATAATTTTACTCAGAGACTATCCATGATTGTATGTATGCCTCATCTGCGGAGCAAGTGATCCTCCCTGTTGTGTAAAAGCAGAGGAAGAGAACTTCTGAATCTCAAATTTCAATTCATCTGACCAACAGTAAGTTTTTGAAAATTTGGCATCTAAGTCTTTCCATCACTGCTCTGTTTACATGTACAACTTCCTTTGACTGCGCAACAGAACCATGTGGCATATGGGTCCTGAGGGCTCTCAAAGATGGAAGACAGGCTTGTTTGTGGATTTCCACACCTAACTGTAGAAGCAAAAGGATTAACTAATGGCATGTCATTGAGGACAGTTAGATTCTGTCCCCACATGGGCTTGGGCAGAGGAAGGAGAATTTGGTCAGTCCAGCAGCTATAAAGAGATGAGTGGGATACAGGCTCCTGGTGTGTGGAAGTGTGGGGAGGGGTGCCACTGACATGGAAGGTGTGAACCCTTCTCTTTCTGTCCTTATGAAAGGAGCATCAGGTAGGGAACTGGAAGTATTGTTTGACATGTCAGCTCTGGGACTTGCAGTGTAGTCACTACAAGTGACTTGGAAGATGGTCTCAGCTGGAATTTTGCATCTGCCCCTATTCAGCACTGGGCATGTTATTAAGCTTTCCAAGCTTCAGACTGTTTGTAAAGTAAGGGAAATAATTACCTCAAAGCGCTGTTGTGAGGAAGAGATAACTCATTTATGCTCTTGGTATAGTAACTGTCACAAAGCATGTTCCCAACAATTACCAGGTATTGTATACTCCTTTATTTTTGCTGCTGATACTATTGCTACTACTACTGTTATTGCTATTGTTAGTGATGTCAGACAACTCACAGCACCTCTCTCAGCTTTTCCCTTCATATGTTAAATTGGAGACAATTATCTAATTCATAGAATTGTTATAAGGATTATGCTGTACTACCATCCCTGTGACCAATTTATACTATGATTGAGAATTTTTGTGTCCTTTTATCTTCCTCCCCGTCTCTACCTAGCGACCCCAAACCCTCCCTCATGGTATCACTAGTCACTTCTCAGTGTCTATGAGTCTACCACTCTTTTATTCATTTTGTTTTGTTTGTTTTTAGATTCCACATGAAATCATATAATATTTGTCTTTCTCTACCTGACTTATTTAACTTTATATAATATCCTCAAGGTCCACCCATGTTGTTGCAAATGGTAGGATTTCTTTTTTTTTTAATGACTGAATAATATTCCCTTGTGTATAGGATAGATAACCCTATCCTTGGATGGTACCCCTTTAACAGAATGGATATCTTCTTTATCCATTCATCTATTGACAGATATTTTGGTTTATCCATATCTTGGCTAGTGTAAATAAATAATGTGACAAGAAACACAGGGGAGCATATATCTTTTTGATCAGATAATTTGTTTTCTTTGGGTGAATTCCTAGAAGTCAAATTCCTGGTTATGGTATTTCTAGTTTTAGGTTTTTGAGGAACCACCATACTGCTTTGCACAGTGGCTACACCAATTTACATTTCCTCCAACAGTGTAGGAGGGTTCCCTTTTCTTCACATCCTTGCCAACACTTGTTATTTCTTGTTATTTCTAATGGCTATTCTAACTGGTGTGAGGTGATGCCTCATTGAGGTTTTGATTTGCATTTCCCTGATGATTAGCAGTGTGTAGCATCTTTTCATGTGCCATTGGCCATCTGTATTTCTTCTTTGGAGAAATATCTGTTCAGGTTCTCTGCCAATTTTTTAATTGGGTTATTTGTTTCTTGGTGTTGAAGCATAGGAGTTCTTTATATACTTTGGGTGTTAATCCTTATCAGATAAATAATTTATGAATATAGTCTCCCATTCTGTAAGGTGCCTTTTTTTTCTGCTGATGGTGTCCTTTGCTGTACAGAAGCTTCTTAGGTTGATGTAGTTCCACTTGTTCATCTTTTATATTCTTTTCTTTGCCCAGGGAGATGTGTCTAGGAAAAAACTGCTAATGCTTATGTTCACAGATCCCTGCCTCTATTTTCTTGTAAGGTTTTTATGGATTCATGTCTTACATTCAGGTCTTTGATCCATTCTGAGTTTACTTTTGTGTATGGGATTAGACAGTAATCCAGTTTCATTCTCTTGCATGTAGCTGTCCAGTTTTCCCACCAGTTACTGAAGAGACTGTCTTTTCCTCATTGTATATTCATGCATCCTTTATCACATATTAATTGAACATATACGAATGGTCATATATATTCATAGGTTTATATCTGGGCATTCTATTCTGTTCTATTGATCTATGGGTCTGTTCTTGTGCCAGTACCATACTGTTTTGGTTATCATAGCTTTGTAGTATAGCTTAAAGCCAGGGAGCATAAATGCCCCAGCTTTGTTTTTCCTTCTCAGGATTGCTTTGACTATTCAGAGTCTTTTGTGGTTCCATATGTATTTTAAAACTATTTGTTCTAGTTCCTGAAAAATGCTGTTGATAAGGATTGCATTGAATCTGTAGATGGCTTTAGGCAGGATGGCCATTTTGATAACATTAATTCTTCTTATCCATGAACATGGGATAGATTTCCATTTGGTGTCTAATTTCTCTCATGAGTGTGTTGTAGTTTTTAGGGTAAAGGTCTTTCACCTCCTTGGTTAGGTTTATTCTTATATATTTAATTCTTTTTGATGCAGTTGTAAATTTGATGGAATTGTTTGATTTCCCCTTTTGTTAGTTCATTGTAAGTATATAGGAATGCAACAAATTTCTGTGTATTAAATTTTGTATCTTGCAACTTGGCAGAAACCAGTTATTAGTACTAAAAGTTTTTTGGTGGAGTTTTTAGGGTTTTCTACATATAATATCATGTCATCTGCAAATAGTGACAGTTTAACTTCTTCCTTACCATTTGGATGCCTTTTATCTCTTCATCTTGTCTGACTGATGTGCTTAGGACCCCCAGTACTATTTTGAATAAAAGTGGTGAGAGTGGGCATACTTATCTTGTCCTGATCTTAGAGGAAAAGCTTTCAGCTTTTCACCATTGAGTATGATAGCTATGAGTTTGTTGTATATGGCCTTTATTTTGTTGAGGTGTACATCCTCTATACCCATTTTATTGAGAGTTTTTAAATCATGAGTGGATGATGAATTTTGTCAAATTCTTTTTCAGCATCTATTGAGATCATACAGTTTTTATCCTTTTGTTAATGTGGTATATCACACTGATTTATGAATACTGTACCATCCTTGATTCCCTGGAATAAATTCCACTTGGTCATGATGGATGAGTCTTTTGATATAGTTTTGAATTCAGTTTACTAATATTTTATTGAGGATTTTTGCATCTATGGTCTCCCAGGATATGGATCTGTAGTTTTCTTTTTTTTTCTAGTGTGTTTGTCTGGTTTTGGTATTCAAGTGATGTTGGCCTGATAGAATTATTCCTTTCTCTTCTACTTTCTGGAATACTTTAAGAAGGATGAGTATTAGCTCTTCTTTAAATGTTTTGTGGAATTCAGCTGTGAAGCTATCTACCCTGGACTTTTGTTTTTTGGGAGTTTTGTGATTACCAGTTGAATTTCATTACTGGTAATTGGTCTGTTCAGATTTTCTGCTTCTTCCTGGAAGGTTGTACTTTTCTAGGAATTTGTCAGTTTCTTCTAGGTTGCCTAATTTATTGGCATATAATTTTCACAGAATTCTCTAATAATCCTTTGTATTTCTGTGGTATCAGTTGTAACTATTACTTTTTCCTTTCTGATTTTTTAGTGTTCCCTTTTTTTTTTCTTGGTAAGTCTGGTTATAGGTGTGTCTGTTTTGTTTATCTTCTCAAAGAAACAGCTCTTGGTTTCATCTATTTTTTTTCTATCATTTTATTCTTCTCTATTTTATTTATTTCTGCTCTGATCTTTATTATGTCCCTCCTTCTATGAACTTTGGGTTTCATTTGTTCTTTTTCTAGTTTCTTTCATTATGAGTTTAAAATGTTTATTTGGGATTCTTATTTCTTGAAGTAGGCCTGTATTGCTATGTACTTCCCCTCTTAGAACCACTTTTGCAGCATCCCACATGTTTCAAACTGTTATGTTTGTGTTTTCATTAGCTGTCATGTACTGCCTGATTTTTCTTTTATTTGTTCATTGATCCACTGGTGATTTAGAAGTATGTTGCTTAGCCTTCATGTGTTTGTGGAGTTTCTTGTTTTGTTTTGTTTTCTTCATGTAATTTATTTCCAGTTTCACACGATTGTGATCTGATAAGATGTTTGATATAATTTCAATCTTTTTGAATTTATGGAGGCCCCTTTTGTGTCCTAATAATTGATCTATTCTGGAGAATGTTTCATGTGCAATTGAGAA